GTTTTCTGCCTCACCAATCTAATGTCCCTGGGACTGCTGAGCGGCAGCAGTCTCGGCCTACTAATCTCCTCACAACACAGAGTGCAAGCAATAGAGGGTACGTGGGTGGCGGTCGTAGTCTAGCCAGTTAGAGATATGTAAGCTCTGAGGACTGTTTTATGTCTAAAATAGCTTGGACAAAGAAGAAGCCCTGACGTCAAGGCGATCAGGCTTCTAAGGGTGGGTCCCCTCTGGGGAAGGGTCGGTTTTGAGAAATCGTTTCTCCTCGGCACCCTCTGGGGTGTGACTCTCTCAGGACGATCGCAGTGCTGCTAGTTCAGTTTCCCTGCCAGTTTGCCATTTCAGGGCGACGAGGTGCCTGCTTTTTCCAACGATCCTCCGAGGAGGGTCGTAGGAACTAAGCTAATTAGAGGTAGTCAAGATCTGAGTACTGTCGACATCGCTAATAAAGCAAAAAACGAGGCTATCAGGCTTCTGAGGGCTCCTCTGGGGCAGGGGCGGTTTTGAGAAATTTTTTCTCCTCACTGCCAGTTTGGTTGTTCCCTGCCGGTTCGCCGTTCAGGGCACTGAGGGGTCAGCATCCCCGTTCGACCCTTACAGTGGTGGACCCTGTGCAGGCTTTGGTTATGGTGCAGGAAGTACTGACACTTCTGCATAAAGAGCTGTAGAAGGGGTTCCTCCTCCCAGAAGACAGCCATTACTTCATTGTTTCCGAAAGAGGATGAGGGGTTGCGTCCTACTTTAGACCTGCGTCAATTTAACAGCAGGTTCCAGATTCTCAAATTCAAAGTATGCTTACGCTAAAAATGATTGCGTCACAGATTCAGTACGAGGACTGGTTTTTCACAATGAGCTTAAGGGATGCTTACTTATCTATCTATCCTCATCACAGGAGGTTCCTGAGGTTACCTTTCGGGGGCAAAGCATACCATTATCAGGTTCTCCCATTCAGCCTAGGTTATCACCCCACACCTTTACAATATGCGCAAATGCAGCTCTGGCTCCTCTGAGACTCCAGGGCATTCACGTATTATACTATATCAATTATTGGTTGATTCTGGCTCAATCTGAGCATATGGCAGTTGGGCATCGAGATGTTGTCCTGTCTCATTTAAAGATGTTGGGGTTGCCGCTCAACGCCAAGAAGAGTGTCCTCTGAGGGACACTTTGCTAGGTGTAGTGACTCTCACATCCATAGATGGGGTATATTTAGACCAGTCATTCACTGTTTTCTCAGAGGGGAAACACGTTTTCGCATGATCAAGGTCACGTGGCCTATGTGCCTTGATCATGTGGAATAACCTTGGTTCCTTGCCCAGGCCCAGTGTTGTGGGCTTCTTGTTGATGCATAGTCTTCGAGCCTATTGAAGAGGTTTCAGAAAAATTCCTCACTTTGAACACTTAATTTCTCCTTGCTATTTCTTCTGTCAAGAGAACTGGAGATTTGCATGCCCTGTCGGTTGCTCCTTCATCCCTGGAATTTGCACCTTGGATGGTGAAAGCATTTCTTTACCAGAGACCAGGCTATATTCCTAAGGTCCCAGCTAATGTTGGGGGGCCAATAGTGTTGCAGGCCTTTTTTAGACCTCTCCACTCCTGGGGCTAGGTTGCTTGCTTCTTAATGTGCGCAAGAACTTCACACAGAACGAGCATTTCTCATTATGGCGTAGTGGGTATATGGTTCTCACCGCGTCTCAAACGCAGCTCGAGATCCCTTGAAAGGTAACATCTCAGGTTACGTATGTAAACCTGAGACATTTTCCATCTATAAGCCAAATGTTTGCCACAAGTCGGTGTTTCTCACTGTGTGCCATATCTCAAACACATATGGTTCTCATGTGTTCTTTGTTATCTGGGCCATATACCTCAAAATGAGTTGTGAACCAAGAGAACTTTTCCCGCAGATTTTAAAGTTATGGCAAAAACAAATATGGCCACAATTTGGTTCATATCTGAACATGCCATGCCACATCTATGCCATACGTGCCAGATAATACCCACATGTGGCCCAAACATACTTGCTATCTGGCAATAAACCTGTAAGGCAAGACACTACAGGTATATAGAGTCATTTTTTTATATAATAGATATCACAATGTACAGGGGTTGGACAATGAAACTGAAACACCTGGTCTTACAACACAATCATTTATTAGGATGGTGAGGGCCTCATTTTGTATCCAAATAAAGCACCAATTCATCTTGGGAATGACAGATCGAAGTCCTTCACAGTGACCAGTGGGATTTTGAGCCGTTCCTCTTCCAGAACAGTGTCCAGGTCACTATGATGCTGGTGGAGGAAAACGTTTTCTGACACCTCAATAATATTCAGATCTGGTGACTGTGCAGACCATGGGAGATATTCAACGTCACTTTCATCTTCATCAAACCCTCTGTCACAAGTCTTGTGTGTGTTGGTGCATGATCATCCAGATACGCGGTTTGAGCATCAGGTGCTCATGATCCTACAGCTCATGATTTTTGACTCGTGTCCATCAAACACAGCCAGGATTGTCATGATATTGCAGTGCAAACCATCACTGATCCACCCGTGCTTCACTCTGAAGATTGGCCACCGGGCATATAGATGTGAAACCTCCAACATTTGGCCAGTGGCCAGTGTTTCAGTTTCATTGTCCAACCCCTGTAACTCCCTCAGTTGATTACTTGCACAAGTATATAAAAAAAAATGTATGATAAGTTTTTGAAATTTTATGTTTAATTATGCAAATTAGGCATTATCTCATTAAATATGCACAATTTTGCCTATATTTTCAGTAGATAGATCTGAAAATATGATAAAGCCAGGTGCAAAATTTCAGGATATATGCTTTATAACCAAAGAAATCATATTATACTGTCCATAGCCTTAAAAAAAATCGATTTTCACCATTTTTTTATTCAAATGTCATATAAATCAGGATAGGAATGATTTATTAACAAATCTCTCTGAAAATATTTTCAGAATACTGCAACATGTATCAATGGAAAGTTTGTTGTACATAGGTGCTACATTGGCTGAGATATTTGTATACTGGAGAATGACAAAAAACAACTGATTTTGAGAAAAAGGCATTTAAAGATTAAAGTAGGGAATTTAATACATTTCTATTGGAAAAAAATGCGCAAAAAAGGAATAAATATTATTAATTCTATTATTAAATATTAATAAAAATATTCATATTATTAATTAATAATATTCATATTATTACTCAGGCCCTTAGTAATAATAATATATAATATTTCAAGCACATGAAAACTGATTATTTAATAACATGGGTAACTCAATGAATCATCATTGGCAGAGTACACCACGTGATGCGTCTGAGCGAATCACGGTAGCAGAAACCAGCAGTAGCCAATGAGATTTCTTCATTAGCTTTAAATCACCCTTTGGACATTCACGATTGGTTACTGATAGAAAGGGAATGCCCATGTTTGGGTTACACAGCCTTGTGCAGGAGATTCAGAGCTTTCCAACTATACCTGTCATGACAGACTTCAGTAAACAGATAGAGCGTGGCATGACGTATTGGAATGCTAACTTCTCTGCCGTAAGTAAACAAAATGTAATAAAATTAACATAAAAAACAATATATTTTCAGCATTTTCTTTATAGCAGCTTGAAAGAACCAGGGCTGCCAACTCTCGCGCATTCAGCCTGAGACTCACGCAACTGACCAAAATAAAATTGTACTGAATTATGTTACACACAAGTGTTACAACTAACCCCTCTCTTTGTTACAATTAACCCCGGATATGGGGTAAGTTGTAACATTTGCACTTCTGTCACTTTCAGTGCAACTGTACGAAAAAAAACTTTAAGTGTTCATTTGTAGCAGACATGTGTATGTTGCTTGTGTAAAAAAAATATTAATCTAACCTAATTATTTTTTCATTAATTGAGCCAAAACTAAAATGTGTTGTGCCCCGCTCTCCCCTACCTAATACAAACAAAACATCTCCAGTTAACTAGCAGAGCATTAATTTAGATCAGCGCTAAAATGTTTTGTTTTTAAAATCAAACTCAGCGCTTGTTGCCGCTGCTGTCAGTTGGCTCACGCAGTCTTCACTCGGACACGCACTGCGCGCACTTCAATCGTTGTTGCAGAGATTCATTCAGGTGAAATCACAAAATAAAATACAGACAAACATGTCCCTGCTTGATATAGACCGTGTAACCACTGATGAACATATTCGGTTTTGATGAGAGAAAAAAACCCTGTAATCTCTGACACTCTCTGCAAAAGATCTACCACTTGACCATTGAAAATCTCATATAAATACTCTCATATAAATAAAAAATATATTCATTTATCTATGGGTTGAGCAGAAAGGATCCACAGTTTGCACCCAGCACTTTTGAAAATACACTTTCGAATGTCCCTTAGAGGTTCCGTAGGATTTACAATTCTTACAATTACTAATATTACTATTCTTTATTCCTACTTGCTATAGACCATTTCACAAGATGTAAACAACACTGGTCCAGAAGCACTTCCTGTTTCAGTTTGTAACTGTTTTCTTTATTTCACATGTAAAGAAAACATCTTAGAGATGTTTGTTTAACTTTTTGATTCAGTTTTATATGTTCTGTTGGTTGTATTTTATCCCAGCTTTTATGTAGTGTTAAAAAACTGAAACAGGAAGTGCTTCTGGACCTGTGTTGTTTACATCTTGTGAAATGGTCTATACACCACTATAAAATATAGTACTGTATGTGTACATTTACAAAATGAGAACTGTGCACCCTTATTGCTCTACCAACTCACCAGGGAAAATCTTCAAGTTATAATGGGCCAATATTCACTACCGGTAGAAGAGCTATTGTACGTATATAACCGAGACATAACTCAGTCTTATGCTCTTTGAACCACCACTCAGCCATGGGAAGCTTTCATATATTGCTATTTTGCTCTCTGCTATTCGTGAACACGGGTTCAACATGCCAGCTGCTCAGTAAATTTGAAATGCCTAGTATTTTTAAAGCAGGGGACATAATGATTGGAGGAATTTTCCCCATTTTTAATAAACAAGAAAATGTAAATGCCTATTTTGAGAGAAAAATGCAAAGGATTAATTGTACAGGGTAAGTTCAAAAGCATGTTTGTGATGTTTGTGACCTACGTGACTTATAATAGTATTGGCAAGGTTCAGGCATGCATTGTTGTTCTTGTCAAATTTGTTTTACAGATTTGACCTACGTGCCTTCCGGTGGACTCAAGTCATGATGTTTGCAATAGATGAAATAAATCAAGATGAGGGTTTGCTTCCTAACATTTCTTTGGGCTATAAAATAACGGATTCTTGTGCTTCACCCTCTAATGTTTTACGTGCATCTTTCACACTGGTGAGTGTGGAGAAGGAAGAGGAATCTACAACTCAGTGTCAACTTCCTCTTACAGCTCTTGTAGCTGAATCAGGATCATCACAGTCCTTAGCTGTTGCTGGAACACTTGGACCATTCAAAGTGCCAATGGTAAAATAAATGTAATTGCATTTATGTGTTGCAGTGTTAAGTGATCATGTAATATAGTCAATTAACGGTCTAATTTATAATGTTAATTTTGTTTATTTAATCTAGGTAAGCTACTTTTCAACATGTGCATGTCTGAGTGACAGAAGAAAATATCCATCATTTTTTCGTACAATTCCAAGTGACTACTACCAAGCAAAAGCCTTAGCCTCTCTTGTAAAACGGTACAGATGGACTTGGATTGGAGTTTTGCAGTCTGACAATGATTATGGAAGAAATGGGATTTCAGCCTTTACAAAGGAGGTGGATAAAATGGGAGTTTGCATTGCATTTATAGGCACAATTTTAAGAACATATCCCCAAAGTAAAATCGTTGAAGTTGTTGAAATGATAAAACAGTCTACGGTAAAAGTGATTCTGGCTTTTGTACCAGAGGGAGATCTCTATCCCCTAATGAAAGAAATTGTGAAACAAAACATCACAGGAATCCAGTGGATTGCAAGTGAAGCCTGGGTCACTGCAGCAAGGCCCTCTACCCCTGAAATATTCAAGTCTTTTGGAGGCACAGTTGGATTTGTGGTACGAAAGATGGCTATGCCCAAACTTGGACGTTACCTGAAAAACATCAGTCCGTACTCTCCTTCACAATCTTCTTTTGTCAGTGACTTTTGGGAAACAATGGTTGGCTGTAAGCCATGTCTTAACTGTGAGCTGCTGCCATCTGCAAATATTACACACAACAGCCAAGTGTGCACAGGAGAAGAAAAACTAAATTACACTGACAAATTCTTTGATGTAACACAAGTAAGAGTAACATATAATGTTTATCAAGCTGTGTATGCAATAGCATATGCTATTCATAAATTGCTGTTTTGTCAAAAGGACAAAAATAATGTTTTAAGACGGTGCCTAAATGTATCCCAGATAACTCCTAAACTGGTGAGCAAGTTGTTTAATTAATTTATTTAAACATTTACAAGTCATAATTTAACAGTTTAATTACAGTATATTATAATTAACTATATTATACTTCATTCCAAGGTCAGTGATCAGTTACAGAGGGTGTCTTTTGTAGATGGATATGGACAAAATGTGTTCTTTGATGAGAATGGAGACCCACCTGCATCCTATGAGGTCATTAACTGGCAGCTAAGAGAGGGGGAGGTACAACATGTTACTGTGGGCTACTTCAGTACATCTACAGATGGAACATATAAACTTACACTTAAAGAGGACAACATCCACTGGATCACTGGAAATTTGGTAGTATATACTTAGTATACTCAGTTATATATATATATATATATATGAAGAGTTCAGATGCAAAAGCCTCTAAGTGCCATTTGAAATTTTCTTCTAAAATGATCATTTTTATCAAGCTTGTATGTTTAAGTTCAGTAATTTCACTTAAATGGCAATGAAGATTACCTATTAATTGTCATTTAAGTGAAATTGCTGAACTTTAATACACAAGCTTGATAAAAATGGTCATTTTAGAAGAAAATTTCAAATGGCATTTAGAGGCTTTTGCATCTGAACTCTTCATATATATATATATATATATATATATATGTGTGTGTGTGTGTGTGTGTGTGTGTGTGTATACAGGGGTTGGACAACGAAACTGAAACACCTGGTTTTAGACCACAATAATTTATTAGTATGATGTAGCACCTCCTTTTTTGGCAAAATACAGCATTACTTCATCTAGAGAATGACAGATCCCTGCATTGTGGCCAGAGGGATTTTGAGCCACTCCACTTGCAGAAGAGTGTCCAGGTCACTATGTGATGCTGGAGGAGGAAAAAATGTCCTCAATCACTCATCCAAAACACCCCAAAGTAGCTCAATAAAATGGTCACTGTGCTGTCCATGGGAGATGATCAACTTTAATTTCATGTTCATCAAACCATTCTTACTTTGTGTATTTATCTATAATCATCTTAATACACACCACCACTTTCAGGGTGCGCATGGTCCTCAAGAATTGTTAGGCAGTCATTGGCAGTGACGTTACCTTCTTGCACAAATAGTGGATCTAGGGAATGCCATTACATTTCAGCCCAAGCGATAACTGATCCACCCCTGCGCTTTACTTTGGGCATTGAACTGACCGGGTAGTAAATTTTTTTTGGGCTTCTCCACACCATAACTCTTCTGCATTAAGGTAAAGACAATGAAGATGGACTCATCCGTGAACAATATACAGTGAGTACGGAAAGTATTCAGACCCCCTTAAATTGTTCACTCTTTGTAATATTGTGGCCATTTGCTAAAATCATTAAAGTTCATTTTTTTCCCCTCATTATTGTACACACAGCACCCCATATTGTCAGAAAAACAGAACTGTTGACATTTTTGCACATTTTTGCCCAGTCTGAGATCCAGAGCACTCTGGAAAAGGTTTTCGTCCAGGATATCCCTGTATACTTGGCCACATTCATCTTTCCCTCAATTGCAACCAGTCCTCCTGTCCCTGCAGCTGAAAAACACCCCCACATTATGATGCTGCCACCACCATGTTTCACTGTTGAAACTGTATTGGACAGGTGTTGAGCAGTGCCTGGTTTTCTCCACACAAACCGCTTAGAATTAAGGCCAAAAAGTTATATCTTGGTCTCATCAGACCAGAGGATCTTATTTATTACCTTCTTGGAGTCCTTCAGATGTTTTTTTAGCAAACTTTGACTGAGGAGAGGCTTCCGTCGGGCCACTCTGCCATAAAGCCCCGACTTGTGGATTGCTGCAATGATGGTTGACTTACTACAACTTTCTTCCATCTCCCGACTGCATCTCTGGAGCTTGGCCACAGTGATCTTTGGGTTCTTTTTTACCTCTCTCACCAAGGCTCTTCTCGCTTGATAGCTCAGTTTGGCCGGAAAGCCAGCTCTAGGAAGGGTTCTGGTCGTCCCAAATGTCTTCCATTTAAGGATTATGGAGGCCACTGTGCTCTTAGGAACCTTAAGTGCAGCAGAAATGTTTTTGTAACCTTGGCCAGATCTGTGCCTTGCCACAATTCTGTTTCTGAGCTCTTCAGGCAGTTCTTTTGACCTCATGATTCTCATTTGCTCTGAAATGCACTGTGAGCTGTAAGGTCTTATATAGACAGGTGTGTGGCTTTCCTAATCAAGTCCAATCAGTATAATCAAACACAGCTGGACTCAAATGAAGGTGTAGACCATCTCAAGGATGATCAGAAGAAATAGACAGCACCTGAGTTAAATATATGAGCGTCAACAATTCTGTGTTTTTCTGTCAATATGGGATGCTGTGTGTACAATAATGAGGGAAAAAACAAACTTTAATTATTTTAGCAAATGGCTGCAAAATAACGCGTGAAATAAAGTGTGAAAAATTTAAGGGGGTCTGAATACTTTCTGTACCCACTGTATGTTTCACAATGTCCACGGGCCAAGATATCCAATGCTGGCACCATTGAAACCGGCAAGATGCACACCAACAATTAAATAATATATATATATATATAATATATATATAATATGTTTGTGTGTGTATATATATATATATATAATCCCAATGAATAATTTTTGACAGATACCCAAAGCAGTGTGCTCAGACACCTGCCCAAATGGCACAAGAAAAGCACAAATAAAAGGACGGCCTATTTGCTGCTTTGACTGCATCACATGTGCTGATGGTTCAATATCAAATAGAACAGGTACACTAACCGTCTGCACTACATTTACATATTTTAAAGTTTATTAAATGCTCCATTTTGATATTTGTTATGTGTTTTATAGGAGCAGCAGACTGCATTCTTTGTCCTGAAGAATACTGGTCAAATGAAAGACGAGACAAGTGTGTCATGAAAATTACAGAGTTTCTGTCGTATATAGAAACAATGGGGATTATTTTGACTGCTCTGTCACTCTTTGGAGCCAGTCTTACTGTAGCTATTATGATTGTCTTCATACACTTTAGAGAAACACCTATAGTGAAAGCTAACAATTCAGAGCTGAGCTCACTATTACTTGTTTCACTTTTCTTTTGTTTTCTTTGTCCTCTTACATTCATTGGTGAGCCAACGACGTGGTCATGTATGCTACGTCATACAGCATTTGGAGTTACTTTTGGTCTCTGCATTTCTTGTGTTTTGGGGAAAACCGTAGTAGTTGTTAGTGCTTTTAGAGCCACTTTACCAGGAAATAAATTGGCTGGAAAATTTGGGCCAGTACAACAAAGAGTCGTTGTGTTCTCGTGCACTGCAATTCAAATAGTCATCTGTGTACTATGGCTTATAATAAACCCACCATTTCCAGAAAAAGTTCTTAAGTATTACAATAAAAAGATCATTTTAGAATGCAACACAGGTTCAGATGCTGCATTCTATGCAGTTTTAGGATATATTGGTCTTCTTTCAGCAATCTGTTTGATTTTAGCATTTTTAGCTAGAAAGCTACCAGATAATTTTAATGAGGCCAAATTCATCTCATTCAGTATGCTTATATTTTGTGTTGTCTGGGTAACATTTATACCTGCTTATATCAGTTCACCTGGCAAGTACACAGTTGCAGTGGAGATTTTTGCAATTTTGTCTTCTGCCTTTGGCTTATTGTTATGTATATTTGTGCCAAAATGTTACATCATTCTCATAAAACCAGAGAGAAACACTAAAAAACACTTGATGGGGAAATTTCAAAACGCCGGTCTTTGAGGTAGCTACATTATACGATAACAATTGCATATTAATGTTGTGTTATTATTTGCCAATACCTGCCCATGTATTTGTGCATTGACAAAAAGAGAAGGAAAAGGGCAGCTATTAATGCAAAATAAATAAAATGCCTCAGTATACCACAGGTTGTGAAAATGTCTGTAATTCAATAAACAATGTTTCTCATATTATGAAATTACTGGCTAAGATAACAATGATGCATGCGATTTAAACATAAATGCTATTTAGTGACCAGACCCCAACTGTCACGGTTAGGGCAGGTTGAAGGCACGGAGACAGGATTACAATACCTCTGGTTTATTCAACACACTCAGATTACAGGAAAACTCAGGAACTCAGGAACTCTATACAACACTAACCTTAACCATACAAAGACGATGACAAACAAAAACTGAGGGAAAACACAGAGGGCTTAAATGAACAGGGAGTGATGGGATAATTAACTGAACACAGGTGATGGGAATTGCTAATGAAACAGAGCGGGAAACACTAACAGGACTAAATCAAAAGTCACAATGACAGGGGGAAACAAGATCTCAACCACATAGAATCATGACAGTACCCTCCCTCTCCCGAAGGCGCATCCTCGCGCCGTATAACATCCAAAGGGGTGGGAGGGTGGGCGCCCTAGAGGCTGACGTTGGAATGGTGGAGCAGGAACGGGAAGCCTCCAAGGCGGAGCTGGTAGCTCGGGGAACTGGGGTGAAACGGGCTGTGGACATGGCCATGGCGGAGCAGGCTGTGGGCGTGTCCACGACGGAGCAGGCTGTGGGTGTGGCGGAGCAGGCTGAGGGTGTGGCCAGGGCTGAGCAGGACGTGGCAGAGCAGGATGTGGACGTGGCCAGGGCGGAGCAGGACGTGGCGGAACAGGCTTAGGGCGTGGCCCGGGCGGAGCAGGCTTAGGGCGTGGCCAGGGCGGAGCAGGTTGAGGGCGTGGCCAGGGCGGAGCAGGTTGAGGGCGTAGCGGAGCAGGCTGAAGGCGTGGCCCGGGCGGAGCAGGACGTGGCGGAGAACAGCGTTTTAAACCTTATTTTTGGGGCAGTTTACATGCAGTTTTTATGTCCCGGTGACCAGTGAAAGTGCAGTTCTGACTCTCTGCCTATTAATTTAGATAGAGCCTGGTCTTGTTAAGTCAGAAATAGCTGCCCGTAGGCGTTGCCAGGATGGTGGCCGAGTAGCATGACTTGCCTAAAAGGACTTTGGATTAGATCAGTTCTGCAATTCTGTTGATTTGACACTGACGCGAGTTAACGTCTATCCATTGACATACGTCTATTAACTTAGTCAATTGTTATAGATCTAGACAGTGACATAAAACTACTATAAAAACATTGCACACTGTGTTTGCAGAAAAAAAGGTTATTAATGGTGATTACACGACAGGCTTGATTGTCCCTTGGACAAGTAAATTTTAGGTGAACATAATGTAAGTTAGGCCTATAATGTTAATGTATAGGCTACTTCTTGTGTTATAAATATTATAATATATTTTTAAGCTCTAATTAAACTTACACATTTATGATATTTAATTCATAGTAAAATCTAATTCATTAATAATAGGCTGTCCGTTTTCATGTCAGTTCGATAAATAAATTAAGTTGTAATCACCAACTATAAGCTTTTACAAAACCAATTAATAAATATCTTGCACTGAGAAATTAAAACGGTATTAAATAATGAAATGGGAGGTTTTATATTTAATATATAGCCTAACCAAGAAATTTGCATATTGCAACCAAATTTTTTTATTAAACCTAACTGTCAGTAGATGAGGTCAAGTCAAAGAAAGTAGTAGTTGATCCTCTTGATTTGTAATGTTTCGTTGGTGAAAAACTTTTTTTTTTTTTTTTTTACTTTTTTTTCATTTATCTGTTCAAAAAAACACACAGAAAAAGCATTTAAGCTAAGTGTGCCATATTTGAAAAAAATGCGTCCCCTGCATGAATATGTGTAATTTGCCTGATTATGCATTGAATTATGCAATCGCATAATTGTGTTTTTCTCGAGGGACTGATTTAAATGATTGTATGTGTTGTATTCAGCTCTTTTACATTTCATCAAGTCGTTACCAGCTGTTACCAACTTGTAACTTTAAATAGAATGTTCTGTCTTTATTAATAATGAATAATTACTTTAATAATAGCATGGAAGTTACAGTCATGGTTCATTACTAAATATATTTAAGCATTTAAACAAAAGATGAATTGAAGAACACAAACTAGTGTTTGTTCTGCCCTTTGTTTAACATGTGTAGAGGTTGTTCTTCTGCGTTGTGTTATTTTAGATGTTTTTTAATAAAAGAATTTTCCACACAAAGCTGGTTGTACGAATGATGAATTTAATCACAATGCCTGTATGATAAACACAACAGACAGGCACTGTTAAAGGGTTAGTTCACCCAAAACTGAAAATTAAGTCAATAATTACTCACCCCCATGCTGTTCCAACCCCGTAAGACCTTCGTTCATCTTCGGAACACAAATAAAGATATTTTTGATTGAATCTGAGAGCTGGATCAGTCCTAGATAGACTGCCTAAGGGACTGGCTCTTGACGGCCCATAAAGTCATTAAAGAAAAGGTTTAAATATTCCATGTGCCTACTGCGGCTCAATTATAAGTTTATCAAGCGACGAGACTACTTTTTGTGCGAAAAAAACATAAATAACGACTTTATTCCACTATTCCATTACTTCCTTATGGGCGCATGCGCGAGAACTGAGACGAGGACGTTCTCATTCGTCTACTTCTTGTTACCGGCTGCTCACCGCTTAGGAGTTTATTTGGGATTTTTGTCATTCCACCTAAATGAACTGTTGATGTGTTTTTTTGGATGTTATGATCAGTGATGGATGAAGCAATAATGAGTTTTGGGTGTTAAACAGTGTGATACATGGATTGTACTTGGACCTAAAGCATATTTTGTCTATAATTCATGGCTTTTAATAGAAATGAGTGGAATTTTAGCATAAAAATCTTTTCTAAAAAAAAAATTTTCTTCTCACACTCCTAGTAACAATTTTACACTTCTACCAGAAAGACTCGGGAGAATTATTGAATGAAATAAATTTATTTTATAAAGAATACAGACGAAATAAAGTAGACACTCAACAAGCTCCATCTATGTTCATTGGCGTGGGCTCCGTCATCCGTCTGGGTCTGTGAATTGACCGGTAGGTCCTGTCAGATAGTCTAGGCTGGGCGGAGCCTATACCCCCAAAAATAAGGAATATGAGATGAATTCCTTACGTACCTAAAATGATTCTGGAAGTAAGCAGGGAAGTTAGAACATGTAAAAGCTGATAACGACTTAAAAATGCCTTAATTAATGCGTATCTGACAGGCGGTTAGAGCCATGATGTAGATGAAATTAATAGCAAGAGTGGAAATGAAGTTAATGGTACACTGTGCTCTGGTAAGATACGAATCCTAAAAGAACTGAAGCTACGACTGGCGGAGATTATAAACCACGATAGGTTTGATAGATGCCCTCGATTCGTTACTGGTTACCATGGAACCTTTGATATGCTCAGAACCTAGCTTTGCTTATTCGTGAATCTCGTTAGATTACGATGCCTGGATAGGCCGAGATCATGCCGAATTCCCCGTGTGCTTCGATAAGCAGAGATGGGAGATTGAATGAGATTATTTCTTTAAAATCTGACGATACTTTGAGACTGATGTCCGTCATCAGCGTGAAGTATTGTTTTATAGAGCTACGTGAAAGCTCACTTGATGTTGATGCCTCGACAGCCGAATTTCCATGTATAAACGAAACGAGAGCTCGATAGCATTACTGCGATGGCTACGTTAAGCCCGAAACGAAGTGAATGATGTAGGTTCGATATAACCTTACGTTTATGATCGTTGAGACTGCTGCCCAGGGATGAATTTGCAATTCGATTAATTCGTTCGATGGGGCCTCGATAGGCAGAATTAGCTCATCGAAAGCAATGTCGGAGCTTCGATATCTTGAGAATTAGATACCCGAGATAAAAGCCACGGAGGCTATGATTGAATATTCCGTTGCTATGAAACGCGATGGACTCAATCGGTTGAAAAAAAAAAAGAAGCATTAAGATATATTTATAAAAGCTCTTGTTGAACCGTAAATAACGGAACAATTAAAGGAGCCTTAATTAACGACGTGTTGAGACTTGATTAATTATAGCGAATTCTGATTTAGGATCAGTCTAGACGTTAGGCTATACATGAACCACCACCAGTAGCTAGCGAATAGAGTTACCTTGAGGGTAGGTTAAGAGGGCTTGTTGAGCATTTAGAAGGACGTGCACCTCGGATCTGATGTAAGTCTTGTAAGCCGATGAAGACCATCTGCCCATCATTTGGATTGTGGAGTCAGGGACTCCGAATTCAGCTGCCGTTGTCGCTGCTCCGATGCGGAAGGAGTGCCCGGTGTAAAGTCGTGTAGGAAGTCCGCATTGCTTAAGGACAGAAGCTAAATGAGTTGTGAACCAGAGCTTTGTCATCGGAAGCCCTGTTCGGTAAAATAAATAAAGGTGAGTTTATTGGAAAGCACGGGCGTGCTTTGAGATATTTAACCATCGAAGAGTACGAGCAATAGGGATTATTGATTTTAGAAACAGAAATGCTAACGCCCGATCCAGAAGAGTCAGTTTTCGAAAACTTGAGCAATAGATTAAAATATGAGGGATAAAGACGTAGATCTGAGATAGCCAAGCCACGAGCCAAATTAAAATGATTGGAGTCAGACGCATATTCCCCTAGTCGTAAAAACCCGTAAAAAGCGGTTAGGAACACCGCTTCTAAAAGGATGTTAACGTATTCGCAGAACGGATTGTTGCGTAATGAAAATACGAGCTTGTGCAGAAGAGGTAGAGTAATGGGGAGGCGTTTATCTGGAGTCTTTAGATATGATTTATCTATTCCTTTCAGTAAGAGCCGGATGGTGGGTGTGGAAAAAAGACTCGGAAAATTGGGATTATAAAATCGTGCGTGAAATTGAATGCCAGCTAACAGTTTGCGAATTGTGGCGATCTTCAGGTGCCGAGATTCGGAACAATGAACTAGGAACGCGCAAACTGTCGAAATTAAGATAGGCATTAGGGGAATACCGAACGAAAAACAGAAAATGATAAATCGGGACCAAGCGAAATTATATGATTTAAGTGTTAATGAAGATACTCCTCTAGAGATGTAAAACCTGGCGGAATTTAATAGGCTATCGAATTGAAAGTTTAGTCTAGGATCAGCTCGGCTAGGTCCGGACATGGCGTTGGATTCTGGTTCGCCTCTGGGCAGAGACGTCTGAAAGCCTGCAAATGAGGGCGGGAAAGAGCATCAGCAATTATGTTTAAATGACCTGGAATGTGAACGGCTTTAAGGATGAAGTTGTGCGTGACAGCTTGCCAAATCAGCCGACGAAGTAGAGACATAATTGAAGGGCATTTTGAACGCCCTTTATGTATTATATCGACTGTAGCTTGGTTGTCGCAATGCATTTCTATGCGTTTGCGGGACCAAGCAGAGCCCCAGAGGATGCACGCTACGACGATGGGATATAATTCGTGGAGAGCAATCGAGGACGAATTCGCACTAAATAAATGAAAAGCTTCCGACCATTTCTCTGAGAACCATTGCCCTTGAAAGAAACCCCCAAAACCTTTAGAGGGGGCTGCGTCGGTAAAAAGCTCTAGCGCAACGGATGATTCGTAAACGTCGTTATAAAAAAAAGAGATGCCGTTCCAATTATTGAGCAGGTGTGACCAGAACCTGAGGTCTGATCTGCACCCGTCATCTAGGAAGATCACGTCTTGCAGGCGGTCAACGGAATGAGCGAGCGTGAGGAGGCGAGAAATGAAGGAACGACCTTGGGGAATGATTCTCATGGCAAAATTGAGATGCCCGAGTAGGGAGAGCATGTCGCGTTTAGAAGCCGTGCGGGCTACGAGAAAAGATTCCAGAACCGCTCTTATTCTGGAAAGTTTGTCGTCGGGGAGAGAGGCTTGCATCAGAACCGAGTCGAGAATGATACCAAGAAATTCAAGGGAAGTAGCGGGACCCATGGTTTTCTCGATTGAAAGGGGCACGCCTACATCGCTGAATAATGATTTGAGCGAATCCAGTACTGAGCTCTGTGTTGAGGGAAAATCTATAAGTAAGAAATCGTCAAGTAAATGTAAGACGAATGGGAGCTTACAAACGTTCAGCAGGATCCAGCACAAAGCCTCAGATAGACAATTAAAAATATTTGGACTACTTCTACTGCCGAACGTGAGTCTTACAGCGAAATAGAACAGAGATTCCCATTTGACGCCGAAGAGATGCCAATCAGAGGGGTGAATAGGCATGATCTTGAAAGCGTCGGTAATATCTGCTTTGGCTAGCCAAGCACCGTAACCTGCTAGTTTGATTAGATGGATAGCATCGTCGACCGAAGCGTAGTACAGAGAAAATGGCTCTGAAGGAATGCATTCATTAACGCTCGCTACGCTATTAGAATGTGGAGACGACATGTCGAAAATCAGACCCTTTTTCCCCGAATATTTGCGTGTAGCTACGCCGATGGAATTGATACGATACAAGGAAAAGGGAGATTCACTAAATGGGCTGATTAAATAGCCTTTATTTAGCTCCTTGTCTAACAGGCTTGAAACTGTCTCTGGTTCTGCTAAAGCAGACTGAAGATTTTTTGCGACGTAAGAGGTGGAGAGGGGAGAACAAGCGCCGACCCGGAATCCTTGAGAAAGTCCTGTAATTAGGTAGTCGACGAAAGAGAAATCTGGATGAGAAGAAAGGTAGCTGGAGAGAGTGGCGATGTTGATAGGAGTAGAGGGATGGCCGTTTAGAACTTTTTCTGAGGCGCTGCTCTTCCTCTGGCCGCTGGTCTGAAGCATCGTGGGCAGACAGATTTTGGATGCAGGTCTCTGCAAAAGCTGCAAATATGCGAAAATTTATGTTTAGCATAATTACAGACAGATTCATTGAAGTTATTGCAAAGAGGAGTGCCATTGAAGGCGATTATAGGTCTGCCTTTTACGTCAAAAGTCGTGTGTGCAGGATCAGCACCATGGAGAGCGGCTGATTCTCTTGGAGCAAGTCCTTTGGGGCAAAAAGCAGCTGAGTGACCGTGCGAACTGCACACGACGCAAGCCAGAGCTCGTTGACCTCCGAAATGGCGAACCAACAGTTCAGAATCGGCGACGGACCAATCCAGTCTAGTGTTAAACAGTGGTGAAGGAGGCCGATTTCGCAGAAAAAGATTTGTGATACTCATAAAAGAGCGTGCCTCCGTATCTTTGATTGAAATCGGCCAGCATGGCGAGGTAAAGATCTAATTCCTCCCCGCGATCGGGGAAAGCTTGGCATAATATATCCCTGAAGATTCCGAACACTATGACGAATTCGCCGAATGATAGATTACATTGCATTCTGGGATCAGAAGATTTCATGAAGACTGCCACGTCGCCGCAATCGACCATTTTACGATCAGCTGCAGGAGATGGTAGCAGTAAAGCAGCTAAATTAATATCCTTGCCTAAGATGATGTCTGATCTCATTTTTGAAGACACTGTGACTGCAGCGGGAGGGACGAAACGCCTACCGAAGTTTTGAGATGGAGTAGCCATAGAGAGACTGAAGCCCGGTGTGGTTGCTGACGTGGCAGCGTTAAGAAATGGCGGTCGATTTGATGAGGAAAAAGCCGGAGCTGCTGACGTAGCGGGACCCGAAGCCTGATCGGCCATACCAGGAAATGGGGAAAGCAGAGAATAATCCTGAAGATGTTGATGGCATGTTTAATCCGGTATTCTTCGAGGCGAAGGCAGCTTCGAATACTCCTAGCCTTGATTCGAATCCTTTGACTGTTTCCGTGAGACCTTTAATGGAGTTTAAGAGCTGAGTGTTGAGTGCTTCCGATCCTGCTTGTGGTGAAGGAAAAGGCATTGGTGCGGAAGACTTTGCCTTTTTGGCTTGGACTGGTGGAGAAGACTTAGCAGTGCGCTTTCTACCTGCTGGTTTGGGTTGAGGGGCTAGAGCCGAGCTAGCTGGAGTATCCTCATCGGGTGGGGCAGTGGAGGTGCCCAGAGTGTTTGAAGCAAGAAGAATTAAATCATTACGTGAGAGGTCGTTGCTGACCGGCAGCCCGCTCCCTTCCAGGAGAGTAATGATTTTCTCGGAGGGCAGTTGAGCCCATGGGGAATCCCAGGTTTGGATGCGGCTGCTTCTACACACTGACTGAGGAGACGGTGGTATGAGATTGTCGTCTGAATCGGAGGAATCGAAATCCACGATCTGTAAGTGGGACATGTTGAGCTGCGTGAAGATGCGCGTAACGAGAAGAAACTTTTCTACGACACCTACAGCAACGAAAGGGGAAGGTAAGGTCAGTCGTTTATATTTGATGTAGAGCCATGATTGGTAACTTACAATTAGTGACGTTGAAAAAGAGTCTTTCTGGTAGAACTTACGCTGACCCTTCCATTTCTGTAGCATCTACATACACCAAACTTTACAGCGGTATTCCTAACTGTATTGTGAAGGTTTGTTCCGAGGGTTTTGTTGATATATCATTCTTTTCCTGATTTATATGACATTTTATGCCAAAAAATAGGGAGGAAATCAATTTTTTTAGGCTTCCTGATTTATATGACATTTTATGCCTAAAAATAGGGAGGAAATCATTTTCACAAGGCTATTGGCAGTATTTTCTGATTTACAGGGTAACAAAAGGAGATAATCATAATCCCCTCTGAAAATGTATTTTCATTGAATAAACCAAAACATTCAAAATATATGTAAATTAGTATATATAAATATATATAATTAGATATAGCCTGATTAGCATATATATTTTTTTTAATTACAGAAAACTTGCCATACATTTTCATGGTAACACTTTACATTAGGATTCATTAGTAAACAGTAGTTAATTGACATGAACTAACCATGAGCAATACATTTGTTATTAAACTTTTCAACTTTCATCTTTGTTAGTTAATAAAAATGCAGCTGTTCATTGTTTGTTCATGTTAGTTCACAGTGCATTAACTAATGTTAAAAAGATTTCAATATAGACCATTTCACAAGATGTAAACAACACTGGTCCAGAAGCACTTCCTGTTTCAGTTTTTTAACACTACATAAAAGCTGGGATAAAATACAACCAACAGAACATTTAAAACTGAATCAAAAAGTTAAACAAACATCTTTAAGATGTTTTCTTTACATGTGAAATAAAGAAAACAGTTACAAACTGAAACAGGAAGTGTTTCTGGACCAGTGTTGTTTACATCTTGTGAAATGGTCTATAGTATTAGTCAATGTTACATTAACAAAGATTAGTAAATGCTGTATACGTGCAGTTCATTATTAGTTCAGGTTAGCTAATGTAGTTAATTAATGTTAACTAAAGAACCTTATTGTAAAGTGTTACCGTTTTTTATCCTATTCATGTGAGTAATCAACTGGTAAAGTTTCATGGTGATATCTAGTTAAAATTTGTTCTCTATTCACCTTGCAGTGTCTTGCCTTAATACATTTTTGTATTAAGGCAAAATGTAATAATTATTGCCTTGCCTTAATAATTTCAGTTACATTGAAATTAACAAAATACAATATACCAAGCTTATGTATTTTTTTATCATGTTAAAATGTGGGGGAGGTGTGCATTACCATTAGCTCAAAGAAAGAAGGCATTATATTCACAGTCTCTTGGTACATTAAAGATTAACAGTAGGATTCTATTGGCGTGTTTCTTCTTGAATTTAGGCCTTCCCTCAATTACAGATTGTTTATAAATTCTGTTCACACCAGATTATGTGTCAGTTATGGCACTATTTTATGCCACCCTCCTCACACTTTGGTTTCTGTTGTGTATTGGTGTGCATAGTCAGTATAAAAATAAAGATAGGTGCATCTATCAGGGAAATGACGATACATACACCTTTTACCAGGGAGGGGATGTGGTTTTGGGAGGGCTCTTTCCTTTGCATTTCAGTCCTGTATCATCAGTTTCTTCTTTTAGGACCAAACCTAAACCTACTAAGTATAAATTGTGTGTCAAGTATAAATTGTGTGTTGTGTTTTAAATTTCTTCTTATAGATAATGCGTAAAAGAATACAACTGTGGAAAATTGTTCTTTGTCCCTCCGAACTAAATTTTTATTGGCTCCATTGCAGTTGTTTAATTCATTAAAATTCAGGAAAATTCATAAATTGTGTGTGTGAAATCTGTTGCAGCTTCACCCCTCGAGCACTGAGGTGGATGCAGACGATGATCTTCGCTGTGCGAGAGATAAACCAGAGGCAAGACCTTTTGCCAAACCTATCGCTGGGCTACCACATCAGGGACAGTGGTGATGACATACCAGTATCTGTCAAGAGGTCTCTTCTCCTGGTCAATGGACAGCCTGAGAGGGACAGTGGACACAGCTGTGAAGACACACAAAAGCAGCCGAGCCCTGTAATTGTGGGAGAGGCATCATCAGGAATATCCATGGCTGTTCTGAGAAGTCTAAGCTCCTTCAAAATACCTTTAGTAAAACAAAATGTTAAATATTGTATTAACAATAATATAATTTGTTTGTCTTGGTAATAAAAACTGTGTTGTATTGACGCACGATAATCATTTTGGTCCATATACAATGTTATGTTGATATAGAAGTTGCTATTGCACTGCTAATCTTACTTTTTCATATTTTAGGTGAGCTACTTTGCATCCTGTTCCTGTCTCAGTAACAAGAGAGAGTTTCCAGCATTCATGCGAACAATGCCAAGTGATCTATTTCAGATTAAAGCTTTGGTGAAACTGGTTCATTATTTTCAGTGGACATGGGTCGGGGTGATCGGTGTGGATACAGACTATGCTCGGTTTGCCATCCAGCTCTTCCTGAAAGAGTCGGAAAAATTTAATATTTGCATTGCTTATGTAAACCTTTATCCTGTTGCACTGACACAAGATGCAGCAGAGGAACTTGTGAACATTTTAAAATCTTCTGCCACTATCATAATAAGCTTCTCTGTGGACTCATATCTGCATGGTATCCTGGCAGAGTGCAGACGGCAAAATCTCACACATCTTCAGTGGATTGCCAGTGAGGCCTGGGCCACATCAAAAGCCCTCTGGGAGGATTTTGGGGATCTGTTAAAGGGAACATTGGGGTTTGCCATACGGAGAACTGATATCCCACATCTTGGCAGTTACCTCAGAAGAGTAAATCTTTCTGTTGCTGAGACGTCCCATTTTCTATCTGAGTTTTGGGAAGAGACTTTTCATTGTCGACTGAATGGCTCCTTAAACACCCATGTACATGGAGAAAGGGCACAGAACTGGCCACCCTGCAATGGCAGTGAGAGTTTGGATGATGTGTACACTCCTTTTACAGATGTATCACAACTCAGAGTGTCCTACAATGTTTATAAGGCTGTGCATCTAATTGCACATGCACTACATGACATGAGCACATGTGTCCCAGGAAAGGGCCCCTTTCAAAATGGGACATGTGGGAGCCTATATAAAATTCTGCCATGGCAGGTGTGTGTGTGTGTGTGTGTGCGTGTGTTACTTTATATTTTACATTCTCCTTCTATAATGTGTTAATAATGAATTATTATTGTGCAAGTATTTAAGCAACTGCTAAATTATACAAAAAGAAGGGGAATATATATATATATATATGGATTTTAATGTGTTTTAAAGTATTGCATTATCCTTTTTCTCAACCTTCATCTAAGCTCCTGCACTACATGAAACAAACTCATTTCACAACATTAGGGGAAGAAGTCAGATTTGATGACAACGGTGATCCAGTTGCATCCTACGATCTGATGAACTGGCAAAGAGGGTCTGACGGCTCCCTTCAGCTAGTGAGGGTGGGATTCTATGATGCCTCCCTTG